CAGAAACTCATCCACAGAAGTAAACTGACAAACATGGGCAGCACAGACACTCAGGAATAATTCCCATTTCAAAGTATCAAACTGTACTCACACTGTGGGAATATACTCTCCTGGGAAGGCATTAGTGGTGTAGCTGATGAGCAGGCATGTCTTACCCACGGCACTGAAATACAAAAGATGCTAAGTGGTAAGTGTGACTGCAGTACTGAGGAGCAAGGACTGCACAAACACGGCACATCAAGCAAACAATTGTGGAAAGCAGGCAGAAAGGCCTGTAGGTAGTCATCCAGGCATTACATTCACTCTTGGGCTCGATGGCACACTGGCAGCCACTAATTCACAGTTCTGTTCTCAAATGAACTGCCCCACCAGATTAGGGAGGAATAACAGCTTCTTGTCACGAAAACACACACTGCATGCACTTACATAGAAATTGGAGTAAAGAGGGTAGACAGGAAATGCAGTGGTAAAAAGTGATAAAGTGAAAAGTGATAAAAACTAGGAAAAGAAGTTTAAGTGTGAGGAAGTCTGATAATAAAATGGGTAAAAACAGAAAAAGTTACGTAAAAGCATCAAGTATGTTTGAGGGCTTAGAAGCCTGAATTTGTATTCCTGTCATTAGATCAGTAGGCTGTGAAATGCAGTTTCACATGTCAAATGACAGAAAGCGTGTATCATGAGACAGGGGCTAAACCTTACATGGTTACTAGATTAACTGCATCACCAAAACAGCTAATATTAATTCTCCAAACTATGAATTAAGCACATATATTTAACTAATACCATGACATAAGTCCAAATCACACCAAATACTAGAGATAATAAACTATTTGACCAATTTTTTTTTGTTCTATCGGTTCCTCTATATCACAACTACAGTATTTACAATAACATTATTCATAATTTTTCAGAATTTACAGAAATGCTTGACATGTATTTTACGCTAAAATAGTAGGCCTATTAGTATTATTATTGTTAAAATGTCATAGTACATATTACATTCTACTATTGTAGTCTAATAATTTGCCTATCTAGTGATTATTTACAGAAAAGAAAAAAAACTGATGTTGAATGGTGTTTATGTGACATTTAAATCTTAAAAATAACCAGTATGGGTAATGAAATGATTATTACAAAAATGAAAGTTGACATCTACCAAATACATACCAATTACAACGCAACTATTTGTTTCCATGTTCATCATCGTTGGGAAAAATATCGTATTAAGAATTTTAGATGGAATTAGGCCTGTTTTATTTTATGATGCTCTCTGATAAGAAAAGAATGAATTCTGAAAAGGTTAACGAGAAAGTTCGGGCTCACAAGCTTTACGATCATATTTCCAGCGGAGCTCTAGTGATGTAGGTTTGAAAACATGACATCATTACATAGCCATTCCACCATTTAATATGTGCATGGTTTACATGTTATCACTGCCACAATACTTTAAAGCGAAACTGATTCATTTAAAAAATGGAACACACATGTACAAATGCTAATTGTACGCCTAAGCATATATTTAACAAAACAGCTATCACCATGAGCCTATGCTCATTACAATCTAATTTAAAACCATAATGAAAACAACTAAGCTGTCTCGGAGAACGACACAGTAATATATGTTTAATAATTAGAAACACCTCAATTCTGTCTCAGCAGATCTCACTCATCCGCTGAGCCAAACCACAATCCCCACTCCCCCAGCGCCTTCTCGCAACAATTGTTTTTCCCTAAAAGAAACCTCCGCACAAAAATAAGCAATTTTAGCATTTGTTCTTCAACATCTTACCCGTCGCCGACAACAACACACTTAATGGCTTGCATTTGCAGTGCACGAGTAGTATCCGACGAGCGAGGAATCTGAAGAAATAGCCTGAAACGTGATGTTAAGGTGCCTGTGGGCTGGTACAATTGCTGCTCAGCTGCAGCAGCGGTCGGTGGCAGTCGGGTATTTCACGATACTTACGAAAAAAGACGAACACTAGGTTCGTACGCTTTCGGAGATCTCGCGAGTCTGCCTGTCTCTCTCTCATTCTGTATCATAGTAGGATGCGTCTGTGGAAATATGATTCATTTAATAGATAAAGAAGTAAACACTGAACATTAAAAACATTAAAAATTTATTAAAAACACGTGTAAAAAAACCGGTTGACATAAAAAATAAAAAAAACACAAGTAGTGGACGGAACTGAGATTTACAGTTGTTGTATTGGGTGTGGATGGGTGGGGTAAAATGATACAGAAATCTCTGGAAAAATGCCATTAATTAACATGACTACAAATGTTTTGGGAAGGGTCAACTCCCTGGAGCTGGATAAAATGAATAATCCTTAAAAAAAAAAAAAAGGAGTCCTTAAAATACATATACAGTAACCCATTTTAACAATGAGATGTTATCCAATTAATATTTCTGCAAATTAGCCTCTTAGAAATTATTTTATATTTATAAAAATAAATGTAATAATTTAGTATTTACTGGGGATGTAGCTTAGCTTATGGAATGAAAAGTGGGAATGATCCATGGGGCCAGCAGATTTCAGCAGGATTTATGTTTGATCCAGTATGATTAATTCAAAGTATTTTATGTCAAAATATGTAATACACAAATCATGCATTAGTACTAAGTATTGTTAATTTGAATCCATAGTCCTTGAGAGAAATACTTTTGATGTATGAAAACAGTACAGGAAACACAAGACGCTCACATATTCAAGAATTAATCATTTTATTGCTTGACCTGCCATTGGGACAATCTATACCAAAGGTTTACAACTTGAGCACATCCAATGAAATCAAACCGTACAATCATAGAAAAAGAATAATAGAAAAATGGTCCTCTGACATTTTATAACTCTCTGTGCTGAGGGCTTGACAAACTAAAGAATGGGTGAACAGGAGTCTCTAAGCCCTGATGGCAAAGCTTATGAGCAAATATATCAATTCCTCTGTACATACTAGAACACAATTTTACTGAAAACTTCAGAAGAAAACACCATTGGCAGTCACAACCAGGGAATGAAAAGCAAGCTCCAGAAAAATAAAAAAATAAAAAATTAATAAGGTTGAGGGTGGTAATACAAACACATTTCCAGAGTATCAATGAATGTTCTTCAAGAAACAGGGCCTGAAGTTGTTAAATTATAATAAAAGTAAGCAGAACATTGAATTAGCAGTGGAACCAATCACTAAATATATTCCTAAAAGGGAGAGAATTACAATAAAGGTTAAATTATGCATTTTACAGAAAATTGTGTCCATTCTGCACTGCCAAATAAAGTTAAATGAACAAAGCAATGCATGTATGAGCAATAGGTACACAATTTAGCAATTGTATGCCTATCAAAGGGTGTGACAGTTTACATTAAGGACTATGTAAATAATTTCAACATGTTTATTTATTCAATCCCATCATGAGGCATAACCCACTGTGGTGAAAGGACAGTGGAACAGTTCATCGAAAGGCTATTTGAAACTTCACATCTCATTAAGGGTGCAAATTGTGTTTTTAAAGCTACAGCACCAAGATTTGACTGATTCTGAAATTATAATCCAGTCTATGTGAATGAGCATCTTTTCCCACACAACTGCAGTGACAATGCTCTTAAATCAAGTCAGAGAGTAAAAAGAAAACAATTCTTTCATGTGGTCAGTAGGACAAAGTCAAATATTGAAGATAACACAAAATATAGGTCAGTTCACTTGCATCTTTCTTTAATTAACATAGCAATTTTGGGACAGTTCAGTTAAATAAACTCTTAATTACTGGAGCTTTAAGTCTAAATAAATTACACTGCTAAGGGTATCCGGATATATCGATGAAAAACAAAACAAAACTGTAGTTTACAATTAATACAGATAACAAGCTGACAATATTTATGAATAGAATTGGGAGGAAAAAACTACAAGGAAATGTCTGTTGGCTATGAAATATGATAGTAAAGAAATCAGGCACTTTTCAAAAGAGTCTGCAGTATAAAGGAGCTGGATATCTGTATAACCACATAACACAAGATGTATGGGAAACAAAAATACACAGATTTAAAATTCACATCAACCGTTTTCAAATAATACAAGAATATCTCTGTGTGACAATTAAAATCTACCTTCAGCAACTGTTAACACTATTGTACCACCCAGTAAAATCGTACAACACAACTCAGAGAACCCTAAGAACAATATCTGATAATAGAATAAGGTGGTGGCAGTATTGGATCGCAAATCTATTCCAAACATTTGATGGATCCCAACCCTCATGGCATACAGACACCATGAACTCAACACAAGCGGTAAATACTGTCCCTGTTTTAAGACTTTGATTTAACTAAGGAGAATAATCTAAATCTCAATCAAAAAAGGACACTGATCATTTGAAAACTATTTTTCTATGCCCTGCCCTGGTTATTAACCAAATTATTTTAGTTTCAAATGAAAAAAAAAGAAAGAAAGAAAAAGTGGGAAAAAAAGACATTTGGGATTTTAAAGCAGTTCACATACACTCTCATGGAGAAAGAAAACCTAATGGGATCTCAGTTGGCCAGAGGTCACCAAGTAGTCACTTCCTGTCAAGGAGGATCCTCACATACTCTGTCAGATTTCATTAACCATTACATTTCTGTAACTCTTCTTCACAATTAAACAAAACAAACAAATGTAACTTTTTTTCTGAACTTGTATCTGCCATAATCACAATGTTGAATAAAAGATAAGATCACCTTTTTGTGGGTGAAACAAACAAATAAAAGCATTTGCAGCAGGTGGCATTCCAGAAGGGAGAAAATGCGAGAAAAAAAAAAGAACTTTAAACGGAGATTTGACTAATCCTGGTGTGCTCTACATAAGAGTCCAGTTCAAGCCTGTGTGTAGCATGAAGGATGAAGGGAGAACAAAACAACCAACAGAGAATGAAAAAGCCTAATGAAATGGGATCAAATGCCACAATGAAAAACAGCAGGCGCATATAAAGTGTTTTTTTGGCTTCCCTATACTCAAATGCTTGAAATTAACGAGGGAAAACAGAATCTGAAACTCGATGTCAATTAAGATACATCATCATATACTGAATAGATAGACTACATGACTGCTAACCCTGCCACTGATTTCCTTCCATTCAAAACACTGTTATACAGAAACGCGAAGCAATTTTGGAGGAAAGAGACAATCCCGACAGACCTCGTTAGTTCAACATCTGTTCACATGACAGGCATCTGTGGCACAAAGATTGGCTCGTTTCTCAGGCAAAAATAACAACCAGCCTTATGGTAAATCTACGATGGATACGAACGTGACAGGGTACGGCACAAATAGAAAAAACAGATAGAGAGAGAACACTGAAGTGAATGGGCACCTGGGTGTTGGAAAATGCATAAAGAAAAGTAAGAAAATAAAGCGGATTTGCATTGGTGGACCCTGCAATAGAGGAGGAAAGAGCCTAGTGCGCCTCAGACCGACAGAGATACAAAGCTGTTGTACTGCTGTATGTTTCGCTTCAGGATATCTGAGCAGGGGCCGAGCACGCGTTCGAACCGGGGACGGTCAAGTTTTACGCACTTCAGCGGGCCACGAGCTACCACAGTGGCGGCACGAGGCCGGTTCATGAGCAGAGCAATCTCACCTGTTGAAACACATATGGAGGAAAATCAGAAAAGAGCCATAGAGAAACAAACAAACACGTACATGGAATCAATATGTAATTACATTAGCAAAGGGATTTCTGGAATGTTTAAATATATGCGGCATGAGCAATTTTCAAGAGAGTAAAGAAAATTGCATTTACCGAAGTAGTCAGATGGTGCTAGTCTTCCAACCTCTACAAATTCCTCATTCTCCGACCGCCGCTGCAGGACTGCTGCCGAACCCTGAGGACACAAGTCTAAATCAATACGTCTGTTCTTCCATGACGCCTCTCTGAGGTTTTAGGGCTACACTTTCTACAACAATTTCATCATTATTTACATTTTTGGTGAAGTATACAAAACCATATGACTCTAACATAAAAAGTTGTTGGAGAGACATTGTAAAAAATTAATAGATTTAACAAGGAAAGCTACCTCAAGGATAATGAAAAATTCATCTCCTGGTTGACCCTGCACAACAATCTTCTGGCCATCTTCAAACTGGACTGTCTCGAGGGCATCAGCAACTGTCAACCGTTCCCATTTATCCAGAGACTCTACTCACAGAATGTTAGCATGTTATGTCTGTTGGCTTTTTTGTTATATATACATAAAAGAAAATTCATCAAACTCACCCAAAATGGAGACTTTGCTAAGGAATTCCTCATACATTTTTCTCTTTCTCAGAGTACTTCCCTGAGCATGCATAGAAAACAAGATTAAGCAGGAGAGGAAAAAAATAAAAAAATCACCCCCCAATAAATCATAAATATATATATATATATATATATATAACACAGCATATACAGGCTCTCCAATACTGGTCACCCACTCATTGTTGACGTACACCTGTCAAAAAACAACGGTACTTACAAATAGATCCGTCATTATAATTCACATGTATGCATTATTATATTACATCCTGATTCTTCGCTAATTTGAATGCATTGCACTTACATCCATTTCACCTTGGTCAATAACATAAAAATTGTCACCCTCATCCCCTGAAATGAAAAATAAGATACATTAATCAAATTATTTTTCCCATTTTTACACATTCAGCTTCTCCTAAAAAGAAGCCTTACCTTGTTGAATGACGGTCTCTCCTGCAATGTAGGTGACTGAGAACATGGCGTCAAATATGTCACTGTGAAGATTAAAATCAGTTGTTTCCAATAAATGAAAGACTATATACGTTACACTGAATATTTCAATCTAATTATCAAAACCTCAAAATGTGTCACCTTCTTTCATTGTCATCAAGATGAGCAAAAAGCACATTCTTTTCAATCGCTTTAGCAAGAGCAGCCATAGTTTTATAGTCTTTAGGAATAACCTGTGAAAAACAGCAAAAACTCTTTTCTAAGTAAACAGCAATTGTACTGAAAGTAGAATTCAGCACGACAATAATATTATTGCCATGGAAATTCTTAAAGTCCCCCTGTAGTGAAAATCAAGTTTTTTATGTTGTTTATTTGTCTATGTGGTGTTTTTAATATGCTTTTAGACAACCCATGTGCCAGTCCATTAATCAACACCATTGCTGAGTATTTTCTCCTTAAAACTGTAGTTTCCCAAAGTAACCCGCAGCAACAGTGTAAAAGTAGCCCGGAGTCAGACCCACTTCTCCCGCATCGGCGTCTGCACTTCACACGCGTATGTATGCTCGCGGGCACGAATTAAGAAACACAAACGGCTGTATTCGAGTCTTCAAGGCATTTTGAGGACACAACATCGTCAAGTAAGTAACGTTAATGAATATTACAGTATTCACTGTAGTTGTCCGCTATTAAAAACATAGTTTTATCAGTCATTATCCGTGTATGCCATTGTTTTGCGTTTACTACATTTCAGTGAATCAGGAGGCGCTAGGTGTGAGTGAGTGGAGGCGGGGCTAATTTGCATATTCATAAATCAGCGTATAGTAAATGAGGCAAGGGTGTTGAGTTACATTCAAGCTATTTTAAGGCATGAGAAAATTATTTTCACAAGAAAAAACATTTAAATATGTAATTTTGATGATCAAAGATAAGTTTTAAAGTTTTAAGGGATAAAATATTTGACTACAGGGGGACTTTAAAGAATGAGATACAAAAGCAAATACAGATTTCTGGTGGGGGAAAAAAAGTTACCTTTCTGACATAAGATGCTGCATCTTCCTCAGTGTAGACCTCTGCACTGATGGCACCGCGGCGCCGTCTGCCCTTAACCACAGGGTTCATGGGAGGAGAAACCTCATCTTCACGGGAGTCTGAGCGAGAGCTTGACTTCTGCTGGCTGACGAATTGTTTAGCTTCCTCCTGATACACATAAACACCAATTACGGCACTGAAGCTTACTTTTCAAGGGTAAAGAATATTTGTAAAGAAAACCAAGCCTAAGAGCATGCAGTTTCCCTTGAAAAATGACTGACCTTCTCAAGCCTCTCAAAGTACTCTCTGAGGAAAGCCATGGGCCTTTCAGGCCTGTTAGTGCACAGCTGCACAATGCAGTCCTTCAGCAGCTGCTGGACGTTGTGCTTCTGCACGTAGCGCTCACATTCCCGCAAGCTCCTCTCTTCTTCACTGCTCGTACTGCTGGACGCCATGGTGACCTGCTGACTCCACACATGCAATTCACATCAGCTCATGAAACCCAACGAATCTGGAGCAAATCCAGTCCTTCTTCATCAAAAATTAGACAAAAACATCATTAGACCAACTATTTGCATTGAAATGTGAAGATCTGACGTTCAACATGAAATGGAATATTGAGGGCAGGGCCATATCTAGCTAGCAGTAGACTGACAGTTGAAAGCGAGCGGATGTTCTGTTCATGCGTCAAACTGACGTCATCAGAGAAGGAACATCATTCCAGAGGAGAAGCAAATCCTCATATGTTGACTAAAGACTATGAAGACATACCATTTTCTGTGGATTAACTTGCACTCAGATTAACTGTTCTCCACAAGACTAGTGCACTGAGTAAATAGGGTCAACTTTGATTACATGTGGACTTTAAATTAAAAAATAAACCGAGATACCACAAAACGTTTTGTACTGTTTTTAATATTTCAGACCAAACTTATGACAAACATTAAATTAGGCAATACATTTGTTTCAGGTTTGAGACAGAAAACATACTCTATTATATTTACACTTCAGTGGTTTCTTAAAAACTATTTCTTAAGAAAGAAAAAACACAAACACACATTTATGATCACGTGTATATTTTTGTGGTTAAAATCACTTCCTACATTTCTTTCAATCTTACAATGACAGTATATAAATATGTGAAATGAAATCGCTACCATGTTTTTCAGTGTTACAAGGTTCGCACACATTTTGACCAATGAACTTTTCCAGTCCATCTGCAATTACAGGATATGGACTAAAAATAATTTTGAAAAGAGAGTTTTCCAACTGATAAAATTAGTTATACATAGAAATGTTTACATTATACAAATATCAATATATTTTTTTTTATGTTCTTCACTTCTATTACTTGTCCTGGCCTAACATTTTTTTTTTTAAGTAAATTACATTAAACGTTATATTCCCAGGTCTTCCATGACTGTGGGAACCATCACGTGACCTCGTGATCATATCGTAAAGAAAACAAAGTACGATAAAAAGTGATTAAAAAACGGACATAGTGCTTGCAAACCAATGTGTTGTCAAATTGCAACAAGTTCAACAGCTAACATGGCTCCTATATTGCGAGCAAGTTACATATCTACTAAATCAGTCAGTGACTAAGCTAATGATCATAGAAAATTCTCTCAAGTAACATTATTTTTTTAAGCAGAGTTGCATTTTGACATGCATACTGTGGCCCCTAGTCCCTAGTCCCCTGAGCTCATAAAATTCGTAGGTCGCATCCCCACAGGCATTTCTCAATTCAACGCTAATCGGTCATGTGAACGTAACATTATTTTAGAGCAGAAAACGCGTGACATTGTAAACACACGCGATTTAGCACGTGTTTAAACGTTAAGCAGCGTGATCCTGCAGCCTTTTCCAGCTCTGTGTTTTCTGTAACCAGTTTTGTCAAGCAGCAAAATACGCCATCTTGCAAGCTACATTATCACAACAACGGAATATTACACTAACCTCTCTAAGAGCCTGTCAGCTCACGCATCGATATCAACAAATGTTACAGCGAAGACTTCTGCTATTAAGTATTCATACCTGAGTCGCTTAGATGAGTTTGTGTACGTGTTTTACTCCGTTTACACTGGCTTTCTCACAGTCCTCGGATGGATGGATGCCTCACCGGAAAAGGTTATGACCAATCACAAACGACGATTGACGTCAATGCGCCTCGATCTGGGAAGCCCGTTACTCCTGACAACCTTAAAGGGCAAGGGCTTGTTTTTGTATTGAGAGAAGATCGAGGTTATCAGACAAGCTAGTTTATTACATTCTGCTTCACATGCGCAATGTATTTAAATCATATTTTACAGTCCTCCTGCCATGACACTGTAATACAAAAGAACAGTATTATTTGATTTGGATCTAATGACAGCTGTAAAGGTTAATGGTTAAGGTTAAAGTTTAAACCCAAGCATAGTGTTGTCCTGATTCAGTCATGGTCATAACCATAACCACCACTGAAATTGCATTCTTTACTTCAACAAAACTAATACTTCACCAACATATCTCTGATAATGGAACCTGTTATGAAATGCAACAGTGAACAGTTAAAAATATACATGTATTTATTTACCAGATACTTTTATCCATATTGACTTACAAAGGAGAATATTACAAGCAGAAAGAATTATTTAAAAATAAAACACAATACAAGAAGTGGAGTGTAATTTAAAGGGATAATTCACCCAAAAATTAAAATACTGTCATCATTTACTTTCCCTAATGTCGTTCCAAACCTGCATGACTTTCTTTCTTCTATGAAACACAAAAGAACGTTGAAGAATATTGGTAACCAAACAGCGTTGGGGACAACTGACTTCTATTGCTTGGGATACAAAAAAATCTCAAGATATCTTCTTGTATGTAGGAAGAAAGAAGATAATACAGCTTTGGAACAACATTAAGGTGAGTAAACGATGACAGAATTTTCATTTTTGAGGGAACTATCCATTTAAGTGTAAAAAATAATATATATTTTTTTTAATATAACCCATTATCATAAGACTGTACAGGCCAGGTGCCTATGTCAGAATATAAAGACACACCCTCTCTTATCTCCTCCCTGCTGCCTCTGCAGCCTTTCCTACAACTGCTCAACCTCATTCGTGTCGACTGCCCAGAGTCCACGAACATAGTCTTCCAAAAGCTCTCCAGCACAAGGATATCGGATATATTACAATCTAACAAAAGAGAGGAAGAGATAAAGGTGAGGGCATAGTTAATTGTCCATAGTCAGGTAGGGTTGTTGTTTGCTGTACAAATCTTCAATCACTGCTCAGTCATTCCAATGTACTGTAACTTAACTATATTCTAGTAAGAATTGGAAAGAGAAGAATGGCTCTTTTTTAGTAACACTGTGTACACTTTTAAAGAACATGTTTGTAAAATTTGTTTAATTCACTTGTAATTATGGAGATGTTGTGTTTTGGTAATGATTCCATATCTTGGAAAACGTGACTGTAGTAATAATGTATCATGTGAATGAAAATGTTGAAAATAACTAAGCTCACCAAGGGGAAATGATAACATTTAGAAAATTGACAATCAAGAAGATTTGGGTGGAGAACTCCAAGCTAACAACACTCTGTCTTCCTTTTTTAGTCACATTCATTTTCATGATTGCATACGCTAACATCTGCAGTGCATTCCAGGGTCTCCCTGTTGAAACATGTCCCTCTATAGCTTTGGATTGGAGCCTCTGTCCTGTCATGCCTGGAACAAAGACCGGACACGTAAGAGCAAACTAGTTGAGCTACATTTCAATATAAATTACATCCCTTCAAGCTCCTAATGTTGCTGCCTGCAGTTCCATTTTCATCCATTATAATCTACTCAGAGGAATATCAGATTGTCTTTAGGAGAAAAGCTGCACTTCTTCAAATGTTTACTATGAACTAGTTGTAATATTGCTGCTTTATACATGGGTTTTTGTTTACCAGAAATTCTAATTGAACAGTTTTTCAGGTTTATTTTATGTGCATAAAAACTTTATTATAATAACATTATTAATTTTTTTTTTTTTTTTTTTAGAAATCGCAATAAGCCCCAATCCTCAAATGACGTGCATTGCATTTACACTACTGGTTAAAATAAATCATAATAATTAACACTTTTTTATGTTTTTGAAAGAAACCTCTTATCAGCATATAAAAAAACTATTTCTGAAGGATCATGTGACACTGAAGACTGGAGTATTGATGCTGACAGGTAAGACAAAAGAGAATAGCTGCCACATTAGTCATTAACCCATTAGTCATTACTGTGAGACTGACCCATAAAACAAATATTATCTCAGTGCACCAATGAAAGTCATTAACTAAACACTGTAAACTGTGCAGGTCTGCATTTGAGTTATACTACCTGGAATTTAGTCACAATGAAAGAAGTAGTGACAGACATTTTCTTCTGTATTGTGACATACATCCGAACGAAACAGGTTCAATCCACCGTCATTGATTGGATGGAGGCAGATCTGAATGCAAGCTTGCAAGCTTTTTTCTTTTCTTTTTCTTCTCAATAACATTCAGATATCAAAATTGAATAAAACACCAACAACAAAAACAACTAACTAGGTTAGCTGATTACCCAAAGAGTCCATAGATATTGGCATCAGTTCTTACTGCTGTTAACACTTTCTCTGACAAACGGATGCATTGAGACCTGTTTTCTGGTTTTCGACATGTACCTCATTCTATAGCACTGGATTAAAATATTTAAAATACATATAGTTTCCAATAATAAATGAATATCTCTAACTATTTATTTCATTTTTAGGGATTGATTGGGCCCCAGAGTCCAACCGTATAGTGACATGTGCCTCAGATAGGAATGCCTATGTATGGATGCTTAAGGATGGGGTTTGGAAGCCGACGTTGGTGCTGGTTCGCATTAATCGAGCTGCCACATGTGTCAAGTGGTCACCTCTTGAGAACAAGTTTGCTCTTGGAAGTGGGGCCAAACTTATTTCAGTGTGCTACTTCGAAAAAGAAAATGACTGGTGAGACTTGCTTTTATAAGACCTTTTAACATGAGTTTTGATTTCTCTACTGACTGAGAGACACTTTACATTACTAATCATATGTATTATCTCTTACATAGCCACATCTCTTGTGCAATCTCTCTTGATTGACTCTATAGGTGGCTGAGTAAGCATATCAAGAAACCCATTAACTCCACCGTTCTGAGTCTAGACTGGCATCCCAACAACATACTGCTGGCAGCCGGCTCTGCTGACCTCCACTGCAGGTTTGAATATTCAGACTATTGCTGCACCATGTTGCTTTTCAAACCATTTTGTTGGTAACAGGTCTTTTTTACTGGCATAGAATTTTTTCTACATATATCAAGGACATTGAGGACAAGCCTGGGCCAACACCCTGGGGATCCAAAATGCCCTTTGGAGAGGTGCTTCTGGAGTATAAAGAGTGCGGTGGCTGGGTGCACAGTGTCTGTTTCTCTCCATCTGGTGATGCTCTGGCCTGGGTTAGCCACAACAGCGCCATCAGTGTAGCAAATGCCACACAGGGAAAAGAGTAATACCACCATTTACAACTTACAATTAGCTTTATAGATCTCCATTTCTCTATATAACGCAGAAAGTAAAAGAAAATGATTTGCAAATAATTAGATATATCCTTGATTTCCATGCATCCATAAAAACCACTAGAGTTTGCTGCCTGAAATTAATAATATGCACAGTGTGACCTTTACCAGTCACTTTTAGACTGCCTACATTATGGAATTTTGTGCATTGCAGGGTTACTCAGCTGACAACAGGACATCTTCCATTGCTGAGCATGCTGTATGTCAGTGAGACTGAGATTGTAGCTGCGGTAAGGAATTTTCCATCTCTTATAGATCCATACTGATATATAAAATTCTGTGTCTCCATGGCTTATCAGCCTATTTATACATGCAAATAAACCTTCAAGGGTGTAAGAAGAAGCACTGTTGTGAAATACACTTTCAAATGTTTTCAATGAGTTCAAACTTTATATTATTATTAACAAATGCAACATATATATAAACACTTGTTGCCTTGCTGCCCTATCAACAGCATAACAGTTTAATGATCTACCAAAGAATATTGAGAGCTTTGGTGATAACTGAGTGAACATTACTAATTTTTCACTAGGAATGACAAAAAGTGGAAAAAGCTGGTCAAAAACATACATTTACACACAAACTGACCACCAACCACAACTTTCAGATGGCATATTTCTTTTTAATCCAACTGTCATGGAATCAAACACACATATAATGCATGTAGGGTTGCAAAAAGGCGGAAACTTTATGAAACTTTCCAGGATTTTGGGAAATTTTCTGGGATTTTTTGGAAACTTTTGTGAATTTTTGGAAACTTGAAAATTTTACCAGAATTTTCCCGCCCCTTTGCAAGCCTAAATACATGAAGGTGTCTCAGTAGACAGGATGTGACATGATCATTGGATTCAGGCGTGCCATAGTGCATTCCTACCTCTGTTTAATATTAATAATACCTTTTTATGCATATGTCTGTGGTGGGGATTTTAGGGCCACGACTGTTGTCCTTATCAGTTCTCATACAAGGGTCCTGGATGCTTGGAGTTTGTGAAGAAAGTGGACATTCCCAAGCAGAGCTCCAAGGGCAACATGTCTGCCATGCAGCATTTCCGTAATCTGGACAAAAAAGCGACTACTGAGGAGGAAGAAACCGGGTTGGGCAGTCTGCACCAGAACAGCATCACGTAATATAAATAAAAGGCTTGACGTCTGCAAGCACAGTCTATTTTAGCACCTTTTGCATTTTGCTCACATTTAAGAGAAATTACATTGCAGTTTGCTAAGACTTTGTTTCTACTATAGTCAGCTATGTATTCTGGAAGGGCCGAAAGCCAAGGTGGAGAAATTCAGCAGTGTGGGCTTAGATGGTGCCATGGTGGTCTGGGATTTCAAGGTATTTCACTGTCATTAAACAATATTTTGATATTACTGTTTAACACTAGATTGTCTAAGCAGTCACTGAATGACTTTTAAAATTATATGAAATGTTTTCTACTTAAATTTTATCTTTAGCACTGAAACTCCATGGGATCTGAAAAGAGCAGAAGACAATAATAATCCAGGACCATCTTTTTAAGTTTGTTTGTTTTCTCAGACACTTTTTTTTACCCTTCAGTACAAAAGTTATACTTTAAAGTAATTAAAGCCTATTGATTTTATTATGATGTACTGTGGTGGTGTGGCCGATCCCAAATGTGTGGTATGCAATAGTTTTTGTCATGCAGTATTAATTAATCTTAATAGAGAATGTTTCAAAGTAGTTTATTTAGACAAAAACAAATGATTATTTAGCACCAAAAAGAGAATTGTATGCAATGACTATCATAAAGGCAAATGTTCTATTCAAAATGTGCTGCTAATGTAATAAAAATCTGTGCACTTTTATGTGTTGTGCGTTAAGCAACAAATAAATGAACAAATCATAATTAATACTACTTTCGTGATTTCGTCTTTTTTCCCTCTCTTGCTGCAGTACTACAGAAGATTGTTAGATGCAAATGACTATTATGCAAATGACAGATAAACTGATGAGTGAGCCAGTAAGAGCATTGAACCAATGTGATGAGATGTAAGTTTAGCAGCGGAAATATCAAGTCAAGTCAAGTCGAGCTTTATTGTCATTCCGCTACATGTGTGGACATACAGTGGAACGAAATGTCGTGTCTCGCAGGACCACGGTGCTACATAAATAAACATAAATATAAACATACAACACTAGACGTAAGAACAATTTTTAGACCTACATAGCTAACTTTCTGAAGCAGTAGTCTAACTATACATATACTATAAATAGTTGACTATACATACACATAACCTAAGACAGACTATACAAGTACTTTGCATAATAACTGTAAATGATATTGTGCAAAAGAGGTATTTAAGGTTAAGAAGTAGTGCAATGTGATTTGTGGTGCATTCACAAGTAAACATTTGTGTTATCTTATTAAGTCCTTGTAACATGGAGTGTTTATAAGAAAGTGTCTGGTGCATATAGAGAAAAGAGTGCAGCACTGCAGTTCCCGTACCAGACAGTGATGCAGCTGGTCAGCATATATGAATAAAACGTTAAGAAATTACTTCACTGTATTACATTTAGGCGATTTTTTATTTATTTTAATTTTTTTATTTTATTTTAAATAAATAGCATTTAAATTATGACCGAATTAATGTAAACCGAGAATTATAAATAAATGTATTTATTTTTATCAACCTTGTGTGATGTTTATGACATATTTTATGTATTTTTTAGCAAAATAATTGCTAAATAAACTAAACTGGAACGCATGACATTTCAACAAACACAATTTTTTAATGAAACTTCATCAAAAAACGTTCACAAACAGCAACACTGAAATGGAACTGCAATGTTTTGAAGTCTATTACATAGGTCTTCAACCCTGCTCCTGGGGACCCACTGTCCTGCAGAGTTCAGCTCCAACCAAACACACCTGAACCAGCTAATCAAGGACTTCAGGATCAGTTGAAATGTCACATGCCAGGTGTGCTGAAGCAGGTTGTAAATAAACTTTGCAGGACAGTGGGTCCCCAGGAGCAGGGTTGAAGACCTATGGTGGTCTCTATTATATTACGTCAGGCCAGAATATCAGGAATCACATGATGGCGTTTAAGAATCACCGAATCGATTCAAAAATCAGTCCGTGAACTTTTTTTTCGAAAGAAATGATTCGAGGCCATGAGTCTGACTTCCTAAAACTAATAAACATTGCGGGCAGGAAGAAAATGCTGTGAATGACTCTGTCATATGTGTATTCGTGGAAATTTTGATGTGTTTAAATTCTCTGAATAATATAATATTGCACACCCAAACCACGCCCCCTTTTGGCTGAATTCCGCACTTACAGCCAATCAGCGTCTACCTTAGTTCACTTGCCCAATCAGAGCTCAGCCGGACGACAACACGGCGCATTTTCTTCAACCACTAGTATGTGAAGTTGATGTGACGCAACAACTATCAGCTGGTTTTGTTTTGCTTCATTCTCTGTGCTCCGCTTGAAGTCGTAAATGTACAAAAAAAACTTGCGTTTTAATTCATTAATGCGAGGCGGAAGAACAGTCGAAGCGTTGGAGTATATTTGTCTTCCACTTTATTCGGACCATCCAGTTTTTCCTCAGTAGGTCTCCGCTTTGCCACCATCTTTCCAAGAGGTCCAACCGATCCCAGGCCTCCGATCCAGGGCGGAGGGAGGGAAGGAGGTCGTGGGGAATCGGGATGGAGACCGGAGAGGGAGCCGACGGTCCTGTTGGGCCGGGGCTGTGCTGCGCCTCCTTCAACCAAGACTCCACGTAAGCGCTGCACATCTGCAGATCAGTCTTGCATCATCTGCTGAATCGGATATTTCTAAGATGCTATTAACCGCGATAAACCTTAGGCTACTAGAGGGAATGTCACCTCTGCTTAAAGGATTGATTGCAGTTTATTGTCCGTTTTGATTATATCCATAAAAGGCTGATCACTATGTTAAAACGGCGTTTTGCATGATAGGGTAGATGAGCTTTGTGTTGTTTCAGTGCTGCTTTTTCAGTGGTTGTACAAGTGCTTTAAATAGGATTAACTGTGACACAGAACACAACAAAATCCATTCATATTATTTAAAGAGTGGATATGAATCTTATTCCAAATTTACACTGCAAAGGTGGCACAGAAGCGCTTCTGAAGTGGCATTTAGTTGTTTTTACACAGACTGTTTAATGCTGTTCAGAGGTGGCGTAAATGCATTTACACAGAAATTACAACTGTATATTTTGATATTGGGGCTGAGGTGGGTCTAAACCGGCATAATTTATGCTCCATTGTGTCTTTACACTGTATTTTGAGCAGTCACAGAGCTTGGCTGAGTAAAACACATTTATTCCTAATTTTATAAAGGAAAAACTGAATGTTTGAGTTGCCTTTTTTCATTTTCCTCACAAGTAGAGCTGAATTTGCATGAGTGTGTGATCTTATTGATCAGTCCACAGTCTCCTGACAATGTGACCCACTTGTGTCCTCTTTTCTAGTGGTTGATCACTCTGGTTTCTTGTCTTAAAAAAGTCAAGCACAGCAAATCCAACATAAAACATGATACTGAGAGTCAGGTGATCTGATATGTTGCTCACTTGAGATTGACGTCAGATGTGTCTCTTGGGGCAAAACATATTTGTATTGGAAAAATCAGAATCTTGTTATTTTGTATAGAGGGTACTTACCAACACATATCAGTCAGTCATTGAAGTCCTGCTCTAAACACAAGGTTTTGTTTTGGGTTTCAGCAGTGTGGTCAGTGATGGTGGAGACATACTTATGTTCTCCAATAAAAGTAGGAAAGGACATGCTAAGCACAGGATCTGACATGAACAGCTTTGTCTAGATGAATGAGAAGCCTGCGATACAGATGTGGAACTTCTTTCCTTAAAAAATCCATGCGACAGACCTAAACTATTCTGTTTATACGAAAGCCAAATAATTACTATAAACCTTTGTTGACAGTAACACAAAATGTTTCTAACATGCGTCAGGACCTGTGTTGTATTAGGATTTTAAAAGAACTTTGCTTGGTACATAAATATTAGGCAGTAGTGTTTGTGATAGCCATTACATCTGTGTGTTCCTTCATTATGTGTTGCATCAGCCTAATGACTCACAGAGAAAATAAATAAATATATTTTTTATTCTAATTATATTATATTACATTATATCATGCTTTTTATATATTATAAGCTGCATATGCACAAGAGAATTAGATACAGAACTGTAAAGTGAATGCACTCATTTAACAAAGTTGATACAACATCAGATCTTATTGTTTCTCCAGGTCTTTGGCTGTGGGCACCAAAACTGGATACAGGCTATTCTCTGTGACCTCGGTCGACAAACTGGACTGCATTCATGAGAGCAGTGAGACATTCTCCCTTTCTTATTTTTAGTTTAAATGCGATATAACGGGCAAGAATGGTTGTCTGCCAAACTACCATGCAATAGGAGGAACCAACATGTGCCATATAATGTAGTCATCATCATAGGGTGTAGCCACTTTCTGACAAGTCACCTACCAAATAAATTGAAAATGCCATCTCATTTCCTTGGCATTTTGATGAGAAAGAAATGAGAAGAAAGTCGACTTTGGAATAATTTTTTTTTTATAAAGGGTTGTCTCTCAAAACAAGTATGTGATCAGTGGTTGTGCTGTCAGTAACTGTGTTGTGATAAACCTGCCCTAGAGGTCATAAAGTTGTCCTGTCTGTTTTGATGGGGTGATTCACCTTACATGGTGGCAACACCCTTATGTGTTTGAGATCGTATCTGCAGTCCACAAAGTCATTCAAAGATTTCTGGCTGCTAAAAAGCTAAAGATAGAGAAACCGCCTGTTTTGCTAATGTATGCAAAATAAAAGGTATGCTTGGAAAAGTCATAGGGTCAAAATATGGTAATGGTAAATAAAGAGACTAAATTAAAAAAAACATTTTGGGGAAAAAAAAAAAAACATTTTGGAATCAAAAAATGAATATAATTACCTCAGCCTCATATCATGGAACAAAATGTCCATGACATTTACACTCATTATTAAAGGTACATAATGACTTCTATTTTAAATTTACACAATGATTTACATGACAGATAATGACAGAATTTTCATGGATGTTACTACCCCTTTAAATGTTGCTTATCCTTAAAAAGAATAAAGCTTTTTTCTGTTTCTGTCACCTGATGGAGTTTGGGTTCCTTTCCACTGTCACTTTTGTCTTGCTTAGTCGGGGTTTGGATTTGACTGCACTGACACTATCAGATGAGAACAAAACTTGAACTGAATTGAGATGGAAAATGACACTGTTGTCACTGTTGCCCCGACTAAGGGGGAAGTCGTGGCCTAATGGTTAGAGAGTCGGACTCATAACCCAAAGGTTGTGGGTTCGAGTCTCGTACCGGCAGGGATTGTAGGTGGGGGGAGTGAATGTACAGCGTTCTCTCCCACCTTCAATACCACGACGGAGGTGCCCTTGAGCAAGGCACCGAACCCCCAACTGCTCCCTGGGCGACGCAGCATAAATGGCTGCCCACTGCTCCGGGTGTGTGTTCACGGTTTGTGTGTGTTCACTGCTGTGTGTGTGCACTTTGGATGGGTAAATGCAGAGCACTAATTCCGAGTATGGGTCACCATACTTGGCCACATGTCACGTCACGTCACGTCACATCACTTTATAGAGCTGCTTCACAGCTGAATCAGATTTGTTTCATAATGGATGGATTTTGCAACATTGACACTGTTATTAAACTGAATTGAATTAAAATTAAACTGACTTGAGCTGAAGATTGACACTATTGACTTCTGCAGAGTTGCATATAGTCAAATTAATTGTTTTATATTTGATTAACTTTACACATTTACTGAACTGAACTGAATCAACACTGAACTGATTCAAGTTGAATAATGACACTTGTCTTGGTAGAGCTGCTTTACAGCAGAACTTGTCTCATATGTAAAGAGTTTGCATTTATTATTGTTCGCATTATATTCCTGTTTCTTACTGTGAAGCTGTTTTGAAACTATCTCTATTGTGTAAAGCACTATATAAATAAAGGTGGCTTGACTTGACTTTTAAAATGACCACAAAGGGCTTGTACATGAACTACATGTGTTTATATGTCTTGTTTACTTTAATGTGTCCTTTTCTCTGCTCCCCTTCAGCAGAAACTCCAGATGTGTATATCGTGGAAAGGCTTTTCTCTAGCAGCCTGGTTGTGGTGGTGAGTCAGTCCATGCCACGTCGCATGAATGTCTACCACTTCAAAAAAGGCACAGAGATTTGCAACTACAGCTACTCGAACAACATTCTTGCAGTGCGACTAAACAGACAGGTAAACACAACACAGCTGTGCTGCAGCAAACACCTGCCAATTGTCAATTATAAAGCTCCTGGACGAGATGAATGTTTGTCTCTGCTCTTTAATAGTTTAGCTTGAAAATGTGAGCTTGTTTGGTTTTGTTAGTTAATGTGTTGTTTGTTTTTGTGTGTTTTTTTGCGGCAGAGACTGGTTGTCTGTCTGGAAGAATCCATCTATATCCACAATATAAAAGACATGAAACTCCTGAAGACCCTTCTCAACACACCGTCAAACCCATCAGGTACCTGAACTGAAAAATCTAGAATTATAATTTATATTTTATAAATCTATTTAAATATTAATCTGTACACTGTGTTTATGTGTGGCCACCCATGTGTTTCTGTAGGTCTCTGCGCTCTCTCCATCAACCATTCCAACTCTTTCTTGGCATATCCAGGAAGTGACACCATTGGAGAAATTATTGTCTATGATGCCAACAATCTGGTAAAAATACTGGCCAAGAACCAGTTTTGCTGCTCATTTTGGCAGTTCCTTTTGGTTGAGTTTGTTGCTATACATGAGACAAATGCCTGATCTTTGGTCCTGATGCACCATATAAATCTTTTTCTTTGTTGTATGTTTGTGCCTCTTCATCTCTTCAGAGCACTATGACCATGATTCCAGCTCATGACAGTCCACTGGCCGCCATCACCTTCAGTGCTTCTGGCACCAAACTGGCCAGTGCTTCTGAAAGGGTAAAGAGCCACTGTTTATATAGAAACGCAGCCAAGTGAACCTCACGAAACTGGTCAAGGACATGTCATGTTGAACAAAGTCAGAATGCATGAAATAGCATTAGACCCCCCTCTTGAATGTTCCTAAAATAGGCTTTAGTATTTCTTTGATTTTTGGGTGAAATGCAACACAGATGTGTTTTTGATCTGTCCACATTTTTTCTGCTTTTTAGGGCACAGTGATTCGAGTCTTCTCCATTCCAGAGGGACTGCGCTTGTTTGAGTTCCGGCGGGGGATGAAGAGGTACAGTGATGAAGATTCAAAGCAGTGAACCGTGAAGATACTTCGATCATACAGAAGGAGAAAATGAGAGTTGGAGCCGTTTGTGTAAACTGTGGTATGTGTGAGTCTGTTTTTGTGTACGTTTTTGACCCTTGTGTGTCTGTGTCACCAAAGGTATGTCAACATCAGCTCCCTTTCCTTCAGCCCAGATGCTCAGTTCCTCTGTGCCTCAAGCAATACAGAGACGGTGCACATTTTCAAGCTTGAACAGCACAGCCCAAGGTACTGAAAATGCTCTTTGCTACCAGCACAATTCACTTCATTTAATAAACAACTGAATTTCTGCTTTTACTGACAAATCTAAACTTTGTCGGTGTTTGTGTTCATCCGTGTTTCTGTGTCTCTCTCGCAGTGGGGAGGAGGAAGCTCCCTCTTGGTCAGCATATGTAGGTAAGATGTTCACAGCAGCCAGTAGCTACCTCCCAGCGCAGGTGTCAGGCATGATGAGTCAAGACCGAGCCTTTGCCACTGTCCGGCTCCAGATGGCAGGTCAGAAGAATGTCTGTGTCCTGGCAACGTGAGTCCCGCACTCATTACACAGCCATCTACAAAGATTAACCTTGTATTTACTGAGAAAAAAACTAATTCAAGAGTATCACCTGATCAATCAGAATCCAGAAGCTTCCACGTTTGCTTGTGGCCTCCTCTGATGGGCAGCTATTCATCTATAACATTGATCCTCAAGATGGGGGTGAATGCACTCTGGTACAGAGGCACAGGTGAGTTTTTACTGGAAAAAGAGTGTAATTTCAAAGTAAAACTGGACAAGTTCAAAAAGATTGAATCTTTTAAAATTGTTCAAAAAAATTGTTTAGAGTGGATCACGAATTCGTTCAATGGCTTTTTCTGCATTTTACATCCTTAAGCCAGTGGGTGGCGACTAGTGTCTGTCTTGTTGTGTGTTAAGAGCGAGTCATGGAGACTCTCAAGTAATACATTGAAAAGTATGACCAAAGCAAGTCTTATTAAATTTGTATGCATACAGATCTACTAAAAGATACTCCAGATACTTCAAAATTAAAAATGACAAAAGAACATAAGAACAAACTTAAACTTAAAAAAACTCAAATGAAACTTAGAAATGTTGCCTTTGCAATTCAATTTGTACATTAAGTTGAAGTATTAAAAGTATTCAAAGTAAAAAATAAAAATAAAGCTAAACAGAAATACAAAAACTGAAAATATAAAAGATAAAAGCTTTCAAAATATGAATAATACAATAGTATATAAATGATACTAAAATAACACTGTAAACAACAAAAACAATCTAAAATTTAATTTAGATAGATCTATCTATAACTTAAATTACTTAACACAATCATTTAAGAATTCACTTTGGGTTATGACTGTGTGCAATTTATATTGTAGAGCACAACATGAAAGTCTATTTCAGTAGTATAGGCACATACCTTATTTAACTAAAACTTACTGATGTCGCCTTTAACCCCCAGGTTGTTTGGATCAGATAAGGAGTGGGAGGAGACTGAGAAATCTGAACTTATGGAGCCACCGCAAGCATGCCAGTCCTATGCTGCCACTGTGGCCATCCCCACCTCTGGACCCATTACAGCCACTCTCACAGGTACCACAACACACTCACACACACACACACACAGTTTTACATTTGAACTCTTTTTAATGATCACCCAACTGTGTTCATCTCAGGCTACTCAGAGGATGGGGGAGCTAAGAAGGGTGAGGTGATTCCCGAGCACGAGTTTGCAGCAGGGCCCGTGTGCCTGGATGACGAAACTGAATTTCCTCCCGTGAGCATTCGCTAACCTCTCCACGTCTAAGCGGCGGTGTTGCATTCCAGTGTATGGGGTTGTCTTGTCCCTCTGTCCACAAGCACTCAAACTAAGTGTGATTTATTATCTTTAACCAAACCAACACCAGCCTGTTTAGTTCTGATGATAGAAAGCAGTTCATAATAATGCATTTTATCAGGACCAAATGTTGCAGTTTAATCACATCAGGAGATGAATAAGTTGTCTATTACACAACATAAATGATAAATATCACTCCCAACATTACTCCTTTAATACATAAAATAATGAAGTATATATTTCAGTGGTATTATTGGTATGTATTTAGACTGAAATAATGCTACATTCATGTACGTTCTGGGTGAATACAGACAAAGTAGAACACTTAAAGCTTAATCATTATTATTAAAAATCAGAATGAAGTCCATATAACTAGTATGTAGTTTGGGGTCAGTAATTTTTTTTAAATTTTTTTTTTTTTTTTATAGATATTAATATTTTTATTCAGCAAGGATGCATTAAGTGGGCAGTAACAAAAGATTTTTAAATCAAATAAATGCTGTTATTTTGAACTTTCTATTCATCAAAGAATCCTGAAAATTTAAAAAAAATAAAATAATGAAGCAGCACAAATATTTTCAACATTAATAATAAGAAATGTTTCTTGAGCAGCAAATCATCATATTAGAATGATTTCTGGAGGATCATGTGACACTGAAGACTGGAGTATTGACTGATGAAACTTCAGTTTTGATAACACAGGAATAAATTACATTTTTAAAAGATATTGAAATAGAAAATAGTTATTTAAAATTGTAATAATATTTCACAATATTACAATTGTACTGTATGTTTAAATAAATTAATAAATACAAAAATGCAGCCTTGGTGAGAATAAAAGACTTAAAAATCTGTATGTAGCCAATTGGATCATAAAAATAACAGCAATGACAAATCATTAAAAAGTGTTCCACATTATCTGTATTCATCTTAGATGTTGAAATACATTTTCTGACACTAAACCTGCTGTTGCAGTCTAATGATGTTTCTGATCTTATGTACATGGACATGAGCAGAAGTTAGATGACTAATTTGTTTGTTTGTGCAGGGACAGGACAAGGATAAGAATGCATTAAATCCACCCAAGTTATTTGTCTTTTACATTCTGTTGGCCGTTTTGTTGCAGTAAATGCTGGGTTCATTCATCACCATTGATGAATAAGAGATAACCATGTAGCTATGAGAGCTCTTTTCTGTTTTAGTCTAAATGGCATGATGTCAAACATATTTTTGTCTATGCACACACACACAACATACAGAAGTATTTAAGTTTAAACATGCTACATCTTATACTCAATGGATTAATTACATTTTAACAATGAAAGAAACATTTTACAATGCAAACAATCTCAAGATCAAGAAGAGAAACTAGAAATAATGCTTTATATTGATGCAGTGCTCACTGAAGTCCACATGGTGGAGCACTTATGGTGGTCCAACAGGCCTTGTTACCACGAACACTTCCTAACTTGTTTTGATAGAGCTGAAATTATAGTTTTTTAGATAGTTTAATAACTGTTGCTTCAAGAGATAGTTTACCCAAAATTTGCTGAAAATTTACACACCCTCTGGCAACCCTGTGAGATATAGAAGAGTTTGTTTCTTCACTGGAACAGATTTGGAGAAATATATCATTCCATCACTTGATCACCAATGGATCCTCTGCAGTGAATGGGTGCCGTCAGAATGACAGTCCTAACAGCTGATAAAATCATCACAATAATCCACAAGTAATCCACACGACTCCATTATTAAGGTTTTAACTTTAAACTGTTGCTTCTGGCAAAAATACCAGTCCATAATCCATAACTCTTTGTCCAGTGAAAAACTTCATGCCCTGTTGTCCTCTCACATCAAAATCCACTGAAATATTTGTTTCAAACTATTTTGGACTGTTTTAACTTGTAAACGGTGCGTGATCTATGCATATTTCTCTCCTGATTCAGACAAAATTACTTTTCCGTTGGAGAATATTACACAACATTGCACAATAATATATATAATATATCATACTGTAGATGGAAGCAACAGTTTAAAGTTAAAAACATCTTGATGGATTTGTTTATTACAAACACGCAGCTTTTCACTTCACAAAACAATAACTGAATGACTGGAGTCGTGTGGATTATGGTGATGTTTTCATCAGCTGTTTGGACTGTCATTCTGACGGCACCCATTCACTGCAGTGGATCCATTGGTGATCAAGTGATGTAATGCTATATTTCTAATGAAGAAAGAAACTTATCTACATCTTGGATGACCTGAGGATGAGTAAATTCTCAGCAATTTCTTTTTTTTGGGTGAACTATTCCTTTAAATGGAGGAGCTCAGGACTCTGATGTCAGAAGGATTTGATCATTTATAGGATGTCAGTTTGGACTAACATGCTCAGATGCCATTGCTATTGCTTTGATATACCTTCCGAGTGTCATTGTGGCTAACTGATATGGCTCGGACATGTTCTCAGCTAGCTACTGTTGAGATCTGTATCTGTCTATAACACACCCATGGCTGAGGGAACAATAAAGCTCTGTTCTGGTTTCCGGTAGATAAATTGGTGCCATGACGGATCTGGGCGAGGCAAGGGGAGACGACCGTGAGAGGGTAGAGAACAGGTGGAGGCTGCAACTGTCACAGGAGGATCCTCGGTGCATGAGCAAGGACAAACAAATTACAAAAAAAAAAAAAACTAACTTCAGGGTGCTAAATTATTAATGGAAAGTTTGAAATGCTAATATCTTAAATTGAGTTGATCAGGGATTTGGGTCGTTGTCACTCAGACCCCTGAAGGGTGTGTTATAAATGAGGTGCATGACTGAAATATAACCACATATTGTTCTAGTTACGTAACACATTGTATCAAGTAAGTCGTAATACTGTAGCATTTTATTCTTTTAATTTATAACACCATCATATTGAATCATAAGAGAAGAGGAATTACTTTTTTATATATGTGTTTTGCTGTATTGATACTTAATATGTTTACATGTTACCATCCTGAAAACTAATACAACGGGATGTTTTGTATGTATGTGCCTATGATATTACTTGTAAGAGTGCAAAGTATTTTGCTGGATTGCTCAAGACCAAAAGATAAAAAAAAGAAATGAATATTTAGGAAATCTATTAGGAATGAAATTATGCAAAATACCTCCTGTCTCCTGTGGTCTTTTCTTCATCAGATTAGATAATGTTATAAAAGTATAATGTATATGTAATAAACAGTATAATGTTACAAAAGATTTATATTTCAAGTAAATGCTGTTTTTGGACTTTCTATTCCCTCAAAATATCATAAAAAACATAACTTTACACACACACACACACAAACATTAAGCAACACAACTGTTTTCAAAATTGATAGTAATAAGAAATGTTTCTTAAGCAGCAAATCAGCATATTAGAATGATTTCTGAAGGATCGTGTGACACTGAAGACTGCTGAAAATTCAGCTTTACCATCACAGGAACAAATTACATTTAAAAATATATTCAAATAGAAAAAAATTGTTTAAAATTGTAATAATATTAATGTAATATTATTAAATGTAACACTATAACGTTTTTATAATTATATCTTATAATTAAATTGTTATAATTATAAATTATATAATTATAATTTTTATAATTCAAATACACATACACTATTCATGACTTTAGACTGAAAACACCATGAACATTTCTGTGATTAAGGTCATTAATTTGTGCCACAGGTCAGATTAGATAATCTAATAGTTGATTTTAATTATGAATTTGTTTTGTCATCATTATCCAAATTTTTACATGGTCAGGCACAGGTCCACAGATCCTTCATACCAATACACATGAGGTCTATGCAGTGTGATGTATGTATGTATGTAGAATCCTCTATTTTACAATATGAAAAAAAAAACATGGTCAATAGCATACTATAAAATTATATAGAATACATGGATGTACAAATATGAGATAATTAAGACTAGATAATTCCCCTGGTGATAGAATGTGAACAAGATAACCTTAGAATTTTTTTTTTCAAGTGAACATGAGCACTGCAGTACTGTGAAGAGTCAGCTGTGCTACACAGATCATTATTTGTTTTGAAAGTCAAAAGAACATGTCGAGCTTTGGGCATTATCCAAACAACTTTGTTGATCCCACAGTGCTTTGTTCAACTTCTGAGGTCATTTCCACGTGAGATTTCATGTATTATTCTCTGCCCTTGCTGTTTATGCTAATTCGTGTAAAAGCATATTAAAGGTACTAATGATATTCAATAAGATTTGCATTCTTGAGTTTAAATGCATTTTGAAATGATCCATGCTTCTTAATGAGCAATCAATCACTCTATGAAGCACAGTGACACACAGATCTGCTCGGTGAAGCAGTCATAACCATGTTTTATCAGAAATAAAACATTGCTATTGACCAATCAGCATCACCGACCGAAACTATCCGTTTTAAAAAATATATTTATTGACAAATGCAAAATATTCTATCAAAAATGAGGGAAGAAACACACATCTGAAGGGGGAATAACAAACACAGAGTCACCACTATGAAAAGGTGCCTTTAATATCTGGAACCTTTTGATGCCTCCATGATAAAAATGTCTCAGAATGGTATATTGATGATAAAGTTTGACCTATTTACCTAAAAGCGCTAAAATGAACTAATTCTAGAGTTTTTAACCATATCATCGTACTTGCATAAGAACATCTGAATATCAAAAAAAGCTTGCATAAGAACATCTGAATATCAAAAAAAGGCCCTGATGTGCGTGATAAATGAGCTGTCCAAGGTACTGAACAATATTCCTCTACAAAGCAACTGATGTCTTGTGCTTATATATACAGGGTTTGGCATAGACACAGATGCCTGTGATACATCTTCTGGAAGTTACTGAAATGATAATCATAACACATAAACAGTAACTTACAAGTTTCTTCACAAGGACATTTTAAGTAATTTATTATCACTCTACCCATTATCGATGAATCAGATCTGCGTGTTTAATGGTCATGTATTTAGATGTGCTTTAACTCAGTGATCTACTTTCACCTTTGCCTTCACATTGTAGTAAAGTTCAAATGGAATGATTGTCAGCATTTCATTCTGAGAAGCACACACAGCAGTGTTGCACTGTAACCTTGTTTGTTAGGGTCTGAGGGTAGACAGTGCTATAATTTAACCAGACATTGTAAGTCAGCATATAATGATCATATGAACTCTTGTTATGGTGAAATCTAGTGTGTAACAGCATATCATGATGATAATAATTAATCCTGCCAAGGTTTTTGTGAAAAACAATCTCAGAAAAATACATAGAAATAGAAAAAAATGCAACATAAGCACAAATATTTGGAGCCTCAAAGGCTTAATTTACTTATATTCTCCTTCAGGCTTTCTCAACCAGAAGTTAAGAAAATTTAACTTGACATAATGCCAGAGGGTCCGTATAAAATATATGAGTAGCCTATGCCATAAATATTTTGGATATTTTGACATATGAAATGTTCCCATAAAGAACAAGCCAATCTGATGGTGTGGCTGAATGTTGGACAAATCAACTAACTTAACTGGTAGTAAATTATACTTGATTGCATTTGGTTGTCACAAAAACATTAATGACACCAGTGGGCTGATATTTTTCTGCGGGTCCTTGGGGACGCTTCCAAATGTGACGAAGGTCCAGTACTCATCAAAAAGTTTGAGATTCACTGTTCTGCACTCTATTAATCTATGGCAACTGTAGCTTAGAAACCAGACATAAACAGTGCTGCTTTGTTTTGTGTGCTGATTGCAACACAAGCACTCTCCATCTAGTCCTTATGAAAGACAATGATGCATTCTTAGGTAACAGTTAGCTGGTTACTTATCTCTCACCTTAAATGACAGGTCCTCTGTAAGGTCACCTAGAAAGATAAATGCGTAATCTGACCACTGGCAAAGAGAAATGATTTAGAAGACCTCTGGGATTCAAAAGATAATTTAACTTTTGTACAATTTAACTGGAAGCATGCACAAATTTTAAGCATTTTAAAAATAAAAGAAACATTATGACATAAAATGAGAAAGACATATTTCAGATTCTGCACTATTTCTAGGTCACTAATCAAATCTACCAATTAAATTTGTGAGATTTATCCGGTGAATAATTTGTACAGATGGTCAGATTCTCTTCTATCAAAGCAGATGCACTTTGGATCATTTTTCAAATCAGGCTAGAGAACATAATTATCAGGTTTTATACAAATTTGTGGAGTTGAAGCAAAAATGTGACTTAGAAATTGTGTAAATTTTTAATTAACTGTTTACTTAAACTGTAGTGCTGATAATATACATTTTTACTGCAAAAATATGATTAAATTAGATGCAAAACGTAAAAAAACCCACACTGTGTGTGTAAATGTGTGTATACTTTTTTATCTCTCAAACTAAAGCAGTATTAAAAAAAACTTAAACGTGTCTTAAGTGATCAGTCTCTTTCATGTTTTCGCAACAGCAGCAGCCTATAGCTTGTTTTAAATGCGGAAGTAGTTGTGTGGGTTAGACTTCATGAATCAGAACAGCCGTCGCATTATTACCGTTAGAGCGCTTCCTGCCGTGCTGAGGCGCGAGTGACGTCACAGCTGGCGAGATAGAAAAATAACAAAAACCTAAGTTTTGTTTAAAGAATTTCTTTGAAAGCTGTTACTAAATGTTGACCTTTCCCTCTATATTCACAAGGAGCCATTAAACGCAGGCTGATAATGTAATCTTTATGAGCTAGCTCGCCTCGAACTGGAATAAACCTGTTTTACCCAGCAGGCTCGCGTCATGCTTCACGTGCACGAGAATTGCTCGGCGCGCGCGTGCTTGTGCCTTTAGACAGTCACTCACTACGGACACGCGCAGTGCTCTTCTGATGCTCACAAAACGTCTTGATTTTTCACACTGCTGTTCATAAAATTACTATTATTAATAACTAGGCTATTTATGAAATGCGTGTATTTTCACAGAACACAGAAGTGTTGTCGCGGTTAAATAACAAATGATCTAATTCAGTGCTGTGCTATGTTGACTCTTCGGACACATGAACTCCAGGTGTTGTCAGGGGATGTTCTCTGTGTAAAGTAAACAGACAGGTGAGACCTGAGCGCATCCAGCGGTGCAGGTGCACCACCGGGAAGTGCAGTGCGCGTTCCCGATTCTCCGACTGCTGAGACTGCTGTCGCGCCCGCGCTTGAATACCGGCTTCAGCCGGTACAAACTCCGCCGAGCTTCAGACTCAGAGACAGCGAGAGGAAACAGAGACAGAGAGCTGGCAGATAACACTCAGTCTAGTTATAATATCAGTATTTATAAATTGTTAATGTAGTCAGACATAAACTAGAAAACGATATATTTGAACAGGGTCATTTTCCAAATACCACTGGCGCTCTCCTCAGAAGTGACTGCGGATGCTCCGGAGCAGGAACGATGTTCTCCAGTTAACACACTTCAACTAAGCCAGCTAAAGCTAGCTCTACTGGGCTTTGTTTTCTTTCAATATCCCGAGTGTCCCCCAGTCTCTTCAACGTTTCGGTAAGTTAAAACGATTTATACTCGAGCTATATTGCGTTTTGGGCGCCCGTGACTGCCACGTTTGTCTAGTGAATATATAAAGCTAGGCGTTAAGATGTTATTTTTAATTAATTAATTTTTTAAATACGGTTACGGTAAAACATTTTGTTACGGGGCATGTGATTCATGCAGAGAGGTTGAGATGTTGGACGTCACAGTCCTGCTGTACTGCGTCTAATAATAAGACAGTGCTTATAGTTGTGTCTTGATAGTTAAAATTGTCCACGTCTTAAGAAATATATTAGTGTATAGACACTACTATCTGCTATACTACTACTACTATACCACTACTATATATATTCTAATTCAGTGCTGTGATATGTTGACTCTTCAGAAATATAAACTCCAGCTCTTGATATGGTATGATATATATATATATATATATATATATATATATATAGCAATTCCCGTCCTAGTCACATGTTCTTGGTTAAATAAACATTACTTACACTACCAGAGGAAAAAAAAAAAACAATTTGATATTTTTACATGAAAGCAGCCAGAGACTCACCGCGCCTTCAAAATAATCCAACTGAAGTGCCTAGACCAAAAAAAAGGAGCTCCTAGTTCTAACATTGTTAGCTTGGCATTGAAAATGGTCAACATGTGACAGAAACGTTTGCCTTGTTTTTATTCTGAAATGAGGCAAAGTCCTCCTTGGTAAAATAAACATTACTTACACTATCAGAAAAAGTAAAAAGAACAATTTTATTTTATATTTTTACATTAACAATTTAATCAAAATTCTATTTATTAAAGCCAAGTATGAATTTCATCAAGTTAGTGTTTTTAAAGGGGTCATATGATGCGATTTCAAGTTTTCCTTTCTCTTTGGAGTGTTACAATATACCACTACTATATATATTCTAATTCAGTGCTGTGATATGTTGACTCTTCAGAAATATAAACTCCAGCTCTTGATATATATATATATATATATATATATATATATATATATATATATCGGTGGTGTTCTGAAATGAGGCAAAGTCCTTTTTTTTAATTTTTTAAATAAAATGTAAATTCCCGTCCTAGTCACATGTTCTTGGTTAAATAAACATTACTTACACTACCAGAGGAAAAAAAAAAAAACAATTTGATATTTGTACATGAAAGCAGCCAGAGACTCACCGCGCCTTCAAAATAATCCAACTGAAGTGCCTAGACCAAAAAAAAGGAGCTCCTAGTTCTAACATTGTTAGCTTGGCATTGAAAATGGTCAACATGTGACAGAAACGTTTGCCTTGTTTTTATTCAGTAAATTGCTCATATTGCTTTCATCTCGCTTGTGACTTTTTTAGCTCTTCAATTTTTGAGATATTTTTACATTAACAATGTAATCAATATTCTGTTTATTAAAGCCAAGTATGAATCTCATCATAGTGTTTTTAAGCATTTTACATTTATTCCAAAATAATAACTCAAGGCAGTAACAAACAATATATTTTATTTGTGAACTTATGTTCAGCTATTCTTTTTCATAGTTAACTTTTAACTATTTTTTGAATTATTTAGTTCATCAGTCATCAATGCTTAGTAAATATTGGTCACAGACACAGAGATTTACTTTAAATTTCACCAAGCTGATTACTCACTATCATGTATTCAGGCCATTATAAGTCTTACTTTGATGTAACAAAGTTATTATATCTAAGTGTGTGCGTTGTTTACTTCATACATACATATTTATATATATATATATATATATCAAAGTTTCAAAGTGGTGCTTGGCATTGGCACTCCCATTTTTTTCTAATATCCTAACAGTGGTTACCTAACAAATGTTTTATTGATTTGTAGCACCTTGAAAGGTAAAATAATCCAGCAGACAGAGCAAATTAAAGACATGAGCTGCTTTCAAACACAGCCGCTGTTGAGTTGACAAGGGCACACCATCAAAGCCGTAGACACAGAGATTTACTTTAAATTTCACCAAGCTGATTACTCACTATCATGTATTCAGGCCATTATAAGTCTTACTTTGATGTAACAAAGTTATTATATCTAAGTGTGTGCGTTGTTTACTTACTTTTTTAAATTAGTCTTCCCATTAATGACATTATATTGTTCGTTCAGACTGATTCGCAAACGCGTAACGCGCATGAACACAAGAGGCGGGATTTATCGCATGAACCAATCACAGCCGAACATAACCAGCCATATCCAATCATATCGTGATGGAGGCATTGCCTCCTCTCACGTGATTTTCCCCCATTCATTCTCAAGTACCCCCCCACTGCACGCTTTAGTTGGTCTGTTAAAACTCAATGGGCTCAGCGTAGGCGAGAGAGACTCGGACTCCCGCTGTAACTTTACCTGCTGGTGTCGCTGTTGGACAATGTTTCTTTAGAAAAACTAGTGATTTTATACACTTTTTAATGTTATATTTTGTAATATTGGCTTCGTTTTATTTTTGTACTACTAATTTTTTCTTATCCAATATTTTGAAGATATATATATATATATATATATATATATA